TTTATAGTAATATCTTAATAATGAATAAGCAATGTCTTTGAATACCTGTTGTTGTCTTAGCCCTGTGAACCTCATACAGTTACTAAAACCCTGTCTGTCCCTTTTTAAGTATAGGATGGTGACAAAGATGATACCATTACAATTAGCATTCAGGAGGAGTTGTTCTGCTCCTTCTTCCTGTGAGGTCCCAATTCTTGCTCTTTTGTAAGGCAGGTTTCATTGTGCTTGCTCTGCCTGCTTGTCTGGTTCTTGTCCTCTTCAGTGCAGTGCCTTAGTGTTTGTTGCTTGTGTTGCTGTTGGTGTTTCTTCCCTGCACACCCAGTGAGTGCCACATTTTCTGTGGAAGCATTAGACCATAGCTTTATGAAACTAGGCGGTGTGGTGGGTCTGGCTGAAGGAAACTGAAGGAAACAGTTGCTGGATGTCTATAAAGCAGTCTTGTACTGTCCAAGGAAGAAGTGAGGTTACTGCAGTGGGGTAATAAGCAGCACTCATTAAATATATTTGCCCTCAGTTTCATGCTTTTATATTTGAGGTATATTTTTTAGAACTCTCGGCATTATGTTGTTGATACATGTCATTCTCCAGGTGCAAAGCTGCAACAAGCTTGGTCATGGCCACTTGAGGTTTTAAAGTTTGATTTTCCAAATGTGAAACAGAATGGGGTTTAAGGTAGGAAGACAGCTGATTGTGGGTAGCTTGAGAACTTTTCTCCTGTATCTGGAGTTACTGATAAACATTGCAGAGTAAGACCATCCTCAGTTTCCTTTGGCTAATGCTGTAGATGAACATCAATAACAGTGTTTGGACACTTCTCAGTGTATCAGAGACGGTAGGTGACCTCCACTCTGTTCTTAATTTCTATTCTCTTAGTTGGTGCATTGCCTTTCGAACATTAGGATTTACTGAAGGATTTGGGTGGGGTTTTTTTACCTTTTCTACTGCAGCAATGTGGTGTTACAGCTTGTACAGTGATTACTAATTCACAGTTTGAGGTTAAGATTATTTACACCCATGATCTTAAAGGAAGTAAGTTGTTTACATTTTGGTCTTCATTGTATTAGTTTATTTGTGCCTTTAAGTTTAAAGCTTCCAATGCCACCTTTTAAATGTTCTGATTTCAAGGACCAGAATCAGAAGTTATGTCAACATTTACTTGTAGTAATGAAACAGCTTTGCAAATCTGGCTGAAAAACAAGACAAAATGAAGAGGAAGGAAAGGAAACATTCTTCTTTGCTAGCCAGCTCTAAAGCAAGGATAGTTGTGTGATCTAGTGCGTGAAACATGATTTTATTTATGAAAAAAATTGTATATGTTACAGTTCAGTCAGGAACATGTTTCTCAAGTACTCCTACCTGTTAAATCTTGTAAATATTTCCACTGCAACTCTCTCTACTTCCTTGACTCTTGTAGAGAAATGGAGGTCTTTGATATCAGAGACTACTACTTTCCTTTTTATGTTCTCCTTAACTAGAGGAAGAACCTTCCACTGACTAGAAATGGAACTGCTGTTTGGCTTAGTAAAAATAAACATGAGCTGACTCTTGAATAATTTTCTTTGTAGGAATTCAGGTTAGGTCTTAATTGTTTCTCTGGCTCATCATTAACCTGTTCCTGAGCATGTGACCAGCCTTAGAGAAGCTGAGTAGCCTTTATCAGCTAATTGTTGTGTATTGTGAAATCTAGATCAGGAAGGTTGCAAAGACAAATGAAAAGTCTTCTTAATGTTACTAATGCTTCTTTCCAAGACAAGACTAGTTTTCAGGTGGAAAAAAAAGAGATTCCTTTGCATGCAAGGCAGCAGTTCATTGGGAAAAATGCATTTTGCTTGCAGTGTCATGTACCAAGCTTCCTGCTCTGCTCAGTTTCCAAAGTGGACTTGCTTTCTTTTATTTTCAGCCCACAGCTGGCAGGGTGCTGTTCCTGCACGTGTAGTGTGAGCCCTGACAGAGCTGTTGATTTTCATTCTATGCAAACATAAACCCTGATGTGCAGTGTGAAGTGGCTGCAGGAGTTTGCAACCTATGATGCAGGCTGCTGCCATACCCTGGTGACTTTGGTAAAGAACGCCTGCATGCACACGTAGTGTGTGCCCTTGTGCAGCTCCTGAGCAAAGTCCAGCAGCCACCTATGTATGCCCAAGGAGCCTAAGTGCTCACGTGAGCCAGTGTCTGACTTTGCACTGAAATGAATTAAAATCATGCACAAGATCCAGTCAGTCTCTGTGGTAGGATTGGTAACGTCCAGGACAGGAGAGACCTTAGATTACTCCTGTCTTTTGGAACTCCTTGAGTTGTTCAAAGAATTGGGAAACTGGGGAAGAGAAAACCATAAAGAGTGAAGTAGCCTAGGAACTTGGTAAAGCTGTGCTGTGATCTTGGGTCCCCGACTGTTACCAGTATGTTTGCAGTGCAGTGCTAGGGCTTTGTGAGCTAGGCCTAAGCCTTTGGCTTTCTGGGACACTTGAGTGTTACTGATGGGTTGAGGAGACCAGAGCAGATTCTGTGTGCTGTGATCTGCCAGCCTGAACTCCCTACACAGGCCTGAATAGTTGGTTAAATACAACCTTATAAATACAACCATCAGCAGTGAAATCAGGAATTTAGGAACTTCTGTTTTCCAGAGAGTAATCTCAGGTTTTCAGCAGTTTTGCTCATTGCCTGCTTGGTTCTTCTCCCTGCTTGTTTCACAGATGGAGCAGTGGAAGGAAAAAGCAGGGATATTTCTGCAGCCTAACCTTTAGTAGGAGGTGCTAAGGCTACCTTGCTTTTCCCCTGAGGAAAGGAAACTTCTTATGATCTGAGAAGTTGCAAAGCTGGTTCTTGCTTTTAATCAGATTCTCTGAGACCTGTGTGTGCATGTGAGGGAAGAAGACCCTTTCATTCTGTGGTCCCCAAGGTAATATCTTTAATCCTGTTAAAAAATTTTGTTTGTGAAACTATGACTGTAAAATGAGTGTCTATAGTTTAGGAGGCTTTGTGATTATATGTATAAAATTATATCGAGTATTTGAATGAGAAGTAGCTACAGTGAGAAATCAGTAAATACAAGCCAAAACAATAGATTTATAAGACTATAAAGAATGTATTTTTTTAGTCTGTATAAACTCCAGCATATTTCTATTAATACAAAGGAGTAGAAAGACTGGATTTCTTTAACTCATCAATCTATAGGTATATACTGTAAATCAAGATTTTAAGAAAGTCGGCTTCTCTACTTCCTTTGTTATACTGGTCCTACCAACTTGGTTTTGACTTTTTTAATGAAGCATCTTCTGGAGTACTGCTGAAGACTGTTGGCCAAAATTTACTTTTTCTGCTCCGCCTTTTTTTCTATTTACTTACTTGAATAAGTATTTTCATTTTTCTTGTGGTATACTTCATATGAACAAATAATTAAATTTTTTCAGTAATACCCATTATTGTGAAAGGTTAAGGTGGAAAATAGTGAATTGCAGGAAGTTGAAAAAAAATGCTACTGTTTCAGTCCTTAGGATTTTTTTAATCTAATTTTTCCCCTTGTGATTTGAAGTCCTATTCGAAATTTTCTATTTTTAAGCATACTTACAGACTTTATGGTAAAATGTGTTTTAAATTATGCTAAATTTTTGAATTGCAAGATCTGAACTGCCATGAACTCTGCCTCTGGAATTGTAGACCTGACCAATTTTGTAGTGCTGGCTTTTAATTTTCTTTCAATTATCAACTTGTGTTCAGCTTTAGAAGTAGGATAAATATGCAGTTATCTCGGAATGAAAATATTTTAAATATAGGCCATGTTTCAGGGGATTTTTATTTAAAACACAAGCCTGCATTTTATTTACTTGCAGTTAAATAAAGCACCTCTAGGTGGCAGTAGGACACACCGAGACTTATTCTGTCTGTTCTGGTTTGCTTTTTACTTTCCCTTTTAAAAGTGCGTACGGAATAACCGAGCTCCTCGGCTCTGGAGTCAGAAGAGAGAGCGCCTTAGAACAAATACAGGAGAGTTAGTGTTCCGTTTTATAGATATTAAACTCTATGCCAGTTATCTTTTTGTTTGTTTTAAAAGAATCATTACACTGACCATAGAAAAGGAAGCTTAATTACTCCGAGCTCGTGTTAATCAGTGTGTGAGAGCAGCTGCAGCTGCCCAGGAGAAGCGCGGGCAGGCGGTCACTGCCTCACCGAGCAGGAAGGAGGCAGGGAAGGGCTGGTCCTTGTAGCCAAGTGGTGACAGTAGCCAAAATCAAAAATCTTCACTCATGTGTTGCTGTTTTTCAGCTCAGTTAAAATACAAGAGTAGGTATAGTGAAAAACTACGTATCCTTTAAGTTTCTGTCCATTTTTCTCCTTGCTTTCTCATGTGACAGTAAAATATATTGGGCTGGAAATAAGGCTCAGACAATATGTCAATTCTGGCAGTTCAAAACTAGTATGTTTTATGAAATATACTTAAAAATTACTGGCAGTTTGTATCCCAGACTTAAAAACATAAGATTCTCAAAATTGCAATTTAAACCTGGACACATGAGTTTTATTTCCTTATTGATGTACTGTAAACCCATGAATGCTTTGTTGCAGTCTCTTTATTGATGCATGGATTCTGAAATATTTGTGTAAGATAATGTTATAGAAGTCTTCCATATGGTTTTCCAAAATGATATGCATAAAATAATAATGATAATGTTTATTTAAAAAAAAATATAATAAAACCCCTGATTTAGACTTACTGTTGTGAAAATTTTGGCTACTCTTTAAATTGCCTGTTTCTACCTAAAGATTTGAATACATTCCCATCCTTCATAAGAAGCCTCAGGTTTTGTCTTTGACATGGCAAAAATCATTCACTCATTGTTCTGGAACTTACAAATGAGATCTTTGTAATAGGTTGGAAAAGTCCTGCATATCCATTTCTGTCGATTAATTTATATGGCTTTAGAATTGTCAAGCAAAAATGCATAAAACTGAGTAGCAATTGTCTCTGCCCCATTCAAATTTTTCTTCCTCTTCACAAACAGCTGCTGAAATACAAAGAATACTACATCAGCTTGGAACACCACAGGACACGCCTGAGTTGAGGCAGCAGCTGTGAGTACTTCACATAAAAACACTAAATTTCATTGCATTGTAAACAGTCTCCTCTTAGGTGATGAGGTGGATGTCTGTTAGGCTTAGTGCTTGATTTCCCTGAAAAGGTGAGCATAGAGATCTATTTGAAACTTAGATGTTGAGATGTGCTTTCTAAAAGTAGGATAGTCTGTAAACTTGAATCAGCTGGTTTGCCCCTGCACACTGCCTGCAGTATCAGTGCATTTATAAAACCTGTGCTGTTTGTTAGCCAAATGGCACAACCAGAAAGCAATATCACTGCTCAAAAACATACCCCCACATCCCTCCACTGCAGTCAACACTGCCAATTTGCCTGTAGGAGTGTCAGAAGATAATGAATATATTGGGGTGGTTTTTTTGTGAGGTAGAATACTGGGAGAGGAAGAGGAATGTTGTTTTTAGTGATGAAAGCTACAGTAAAGGATGACATTATCGAATAAATAAGTACCAGAAATAGTAACATATGAAATCAGACTCCAAGGCAGATGCTCTGCTGGAGTTCAGTCACCTAAAGGTGGACTTTGACTAATACGCCTCTAGGAGAGACAGCAGCTGTTCTCTACTTCTCTGCACGGTCTAATGAACCAGTATGATTTCTTTTTCATTAAACTCTTTTACCACATTAATCTCAGCATCACAAATGCATGTAAGCAACATGTTGTGCTCACCCTGGCATGTTTTCTGTGTTTCATGATGTGCTGAGGCCGTTGAATAGTACGAGGAGGTGTGTGTTGGAACAAAGTCATGATGTTCATTTTGTGTGAGCAGCCAAATTTCTTCATAATAGCCTGAGTTCGGGGCCAATAACGTTAGCCAGGCATAATCCACAAAGCTTATTCTACTGGAGACTGGGAGCAGGGGAAGAGCAACATACACAGTTTATGCAATAACCCAATAGGATCTAGGCATAAATTCACACCTAAACACTGCAGAAACTGTTGTTAAGTACATGGTTCAGACCCTTATCCCTTATTGGGATAATTTATGTATATATGGTAAACTTGCTTGAGTTTTTATGTTTCTCAGTTGTCTCGGTATTTGGCCTTTCCAGGAGTTATTCGATTATTTTAAATATTGATGCTGATGGCTTGATAATAACTTTCCAGGTAAAATCTTTTTATATAGACTGGGCGGGGAGGATGCCAAAGCAGGTAGAGAATTTGAGTTGCTTCAGAAAAAAAAAAAGTGAATATTGGTAAAGGATTGTATGATAATATCAGAAGTATATTTGTGTTCATAATGACTACAAATGTATTGCTGCACATTAATAAAATAGAAGAAACCTAAGGGGGGAAAAAAGTAAGTAATTATTAATTATGCTGTCACACTAAGGAAAACACCTTCTTCAATATCTGTCCTGCCTGGAATCTGTGATTTCATGCCTTTACAGTGAAGAGCAGAATAAATATGGCTTTGTGTACTTCAGAGAAGCTTTTAGTACTGATGTTTTTCTGAGAATCAGTGAAATTCAGCAAAGTAACTCAATGGTCTCTAATGAAAATTTGCATTTGGTTTTAGGCAACAGAAGCAGCAATACACCAACCAACTTGCCAAAGAAACTGACAAATACATTAAAGAGTTTGGATCTTTGCCTGCGACAAGTGAACAGGTATAAAACCAAAAAAGCATGACTTGTTTGACTATTATATTGGCTCATGTAAAGTATTTCAGTCACTTCAGTTCTTTATTCCTGTTTTCAAAGCACTGTTTAGTTAGTTAAGACATTTGCACAATGCAGGAATACTTAAAATGTAAGAATATTTTGTTGCTGTCCAGACTTGTCCCGAAGTTGTTTTTATGTGTCAGGAATGAAGTAGTGTGACTGAAGTGGTGGGAACCAATGCACTGTGCTGTGCCTTTCTTCTTTTTCGGGTAGCTGGACACTTTGTAATCCATTGCAGTGATACTGTATCTGATTCTGCCAGCACTCCGACTGACTCCAGGGTCAAGGAATTGTGTGCCAAAACACTGTTCGCTCACTGTCTGAATAATTTGATTATCACAGTATGTCTGTTCAGCATCATGGGATCAGCATATGTGCTATGCTCGTCAAAAAGCACAGGCTTTTCCTTTCTTAAGAGGACTAGACTAGACAGGAGCTGTTTTACTGAATTAACCTTTTTTCTGAGGTCTGTGTAAAATCTTTCAGTCAGAAACATGTGAAGTGGCTGTGTGGTTAGCACACTCGTGTCTGCCCTCCTGTAGTTTCTTATCCTAGCAAAATCTGTCACTTAAGTAAGGGGAGAGCAACAGGATCCTAAAAAACATGAATTCGGGTTATGGTCACTTAAACAACTTGCCTGGTAGTTAATAAGAAGCCTTTGGCAAAGTGAATGGTCTTGAAACACTCAGTTCAAATGGCAGGCCATGATTCATGTGTGCTCATACTGTCAAGCTGTAAACTTCTAACAGCAGTGTTAAAACTTGGTCTTCGTAAATAACCTCTAGTTCAGCTGAAGTATCTTAAGTTTCTTGGTTTTTTGCTGTTTGCTTATCTTGGAGTTGAAAAGTTCATAGTGAAATATTTTACTGTTTAATTTTACCCTTTTATCAAATCTATTTCTTAATGAAATGCATAAATAACAGATTCATGAATGGCAAATTGCAAGCTTTCAGAAATTTGTAAGGGTTGATGTATGCATGTATTTAGGAAAATATGGTGGAGGCTCTCTTGAGTGGCCAATATTCCCCTTCCCTTCACTACATCCTTAAAAAAACAAACCTGAAAGATTAGAACAAGTATTTCTGGATCTAAAGCACTTAAGTGGGTATGTGAACCCACTTCTAGATTCAGTTCAATATGTATTTCCAGCATTTACGTAAAATATGTATGAAGTGCTCTGTTCTTTCTTTTCTGCACCCTTCCTCCCCTCTATGTTCAGTCACCTCTGTATGTTTTAGCATTCCTGGTGTCAAAATATTTCACACCAAAGCAGAAGATTTTACAGTCAGCAGATAATAAGTAAGGTAGAAGCTTTATCACTCCTCATTTCTCATTTCCAGCTGTCAAATGAAAATAAATACATTGATTTCCTCTTCAAATGCCTTAGTTTGTGTGCTTATGTGATCCCAGAAGGAAAGGCTTGTCCATGGAATTGCAAGTGGTTTTGTTGACAGCCTTCCCTTACACCAATTTAGAAGAAAAAGAAAAATATATGTGCTTTGGTATTTAGCAGACTGGAAATAGTAAAGCCTTAAAAAGCCTGAGCTCATTTGACTTGGTAAAACTTTTTCTCCTACAGCGTCAAAGAAAAATACAGAAGGACCGTCTTGTGGGAGAGTTCACCACAGCACTGACAAATTTCCAAAGACTTCAAAGGCAAGCTGCTGAGAAGGAAAAGGACTTTGTAGCCAGAGTAAGAGCCAGCTCAAGGGTGTCTGTAAGTATCAGAAAATGTGCCACTGTGTTCTTTGCATTGATGTTTGTGATGTTCCATGTCAGATTTGCCTCCACAGTGCTACTTAGCTTATAGCTGAGTCTAAATGCTGCAGAACATGTGGTATATGATTTTATAGTGAAGGCTGCATTAAGCTGTAATAACCTCTCTGGACAACTGTTACTTTTTCCTTGCCTTTGTCACATAAAGGAATGAACTGCCTCTGTGTTCATGCTGTAATCCTGCAAAAGCAACTTCTACTAGATTTGGATTTTGCTCTACCTTTAGATATCAACAGATTTTTCCCTTTGGGAAAGAATGACTTGCCAGATTTCAGTGGAGTATTAAGGTGGAGATGTGCTGAGTAGCTTCAGATGTTGAGCTTTTCCTTGTCAGTATATCACTTTTGCCTTTTCACTCCGTGCCAAATGCATGTTGTGTACTTGTAAGTTGTAGCAGGCAGTTACTGAGCTGAATGCTTTTGCTTGTATTTCAGCCTTATGCATGCATAAAGCAAAATCAGGATGAGAACATGTTGAATCATGTTTCAGTTTGACTTACTAGAAACCCTGTAGTATTGACTCCTTACAAAAATGCTGCCAGTGCTATTTTCAGGGCTATAATGTTTTATTTATATTTTTAAACACTGATCATGTAGGGTGGGGCTCCAGAAGATAACTACAAAGAGGGAACACTTGTCTCTTGGGACAGGTAGGTTTAATTACTTAATACACCTTAACTTATCTCAGAATGATAAACAGCCTGCAGGGAAGCAAGCTGTCCATGATTTTTTTGTTTTGTTTTGTTTTTAACATAAAGAAGATACTTTGATGGCATACGTGGGGAGAAAAAGAAGCAGTTCACATCATGTCTCTCCTTTTTTCATGATGCTTCAACCATGTCCTTAAGGTCCCCTAAGCTGCATTTGGGTTTTCTGGGACCCAAACTTAGGGAAGAAGAGTCCAATTTCAATAAAGCAAAGCTGTTGTGATAAGGGCCCAGTGTTTACTGAGAACTCCCATTACTTCCATACTCTCCAAGAACTGTTTCTTAGTCTCAGATTATTTTTTGTTGCTCAGATAGATGTAAATTCTGCAGTTGATAATTCAGAAGGAACTTTGACCTTGTATTCATACCTAGAATTTCTAGTCAGCCACCTGCTCTGTGCAGCACTGCTCCAGTAGCTCTGCTGCACCAAAGCTGTGATGGTTATATAATTTCTGTTAGCCAGGGCCAGACAAAAGTAAAAACACACATATTATTAACTGATAATGTAAAATGTGTTATGTCCTTAACTGTAGTTTTATCCTTCTGAATAATTTGTCATTGTGGTTTTTCAATTCTGCATGGGTTTTGGTTTTGTTTTTTTGTCTGATAGTCAACCACAAGCACAAGTGCAAGATGAAGAAATTACAGAAGATGACCTCCGTCTTATTGAAGAGAGGGAATCTTCCATTAGGCAGCTTGAAGTAAGTACAAGTGGTTTTACAACATAATATGCTTTTGATATTCCAAAGAAATAGCATTTTAAAGGAGCATGAGCATTAATTGGTGACAGGAATCTTGAGGAATTTGGGTTTGTCTGTGGGTGTGGTTTACCCTTCAAAGCTGCAAATGTTGTGTTTAGATGTGAAATGTACATTTGAAAGCTACTGTATGAAAGCCATGTTTTGATATATTGTGTTTAACTTAAGTGGTTCTGCTATGGAATAAGAGTGCTCATATGATGGCAAGAAAAACTATGTACATTTTTTTCCAATATGGTCATACTACAGAACCATTTTAAAGAGTGAATATAAATGTAACAATATATATACCTCTCCTCACATGTCCTCCCAATATATTGTCCAGCATGTTCATTTTTAAGTGGACTTTTTTTAACATTTCTGGAAATACAGAGATTTTCTTTCATTGAAACTTTTGTAAGTAAGGACTTCATAAACTCAGTCTCAAAGTACCAGAAAAACCTTAAAAATAAGCACATTAAGTTTTTTTTTTTTTATCCTGTAATACAAAGTCATGGATGCACACCCTGGAGGAGAAGGAACAGTATTTATATTGAAATGCACATAGATGCTAAAATGTGTGATGTACATTAATGATTTCGTTTTGCAGGCTGATATTATGGATATCAATGAAATTTTCAAAGATTTAGGAATGATGATTCATGAACAAGGTGATGTGATAGGTAAGTTCAATTCAACTATTACCTGAAATTTTTTATTCAATTTGTCTGGTGAGCTGCAGTGTAGAACTTCCTTTTGCAGGAAGAATTCCTCTAATGACACTATCAGTGCTAAAGCAAATCAGGTACAACCTAATAATGCGTAGACTTGCTGAGATGGCTGGGAATATAGTAAGAAAGAGTGCTTAAAATCTAGTTTTAAACATGTAATTTTTTTATGTGTATAAAATGTCTTTAAAGTAGTTTTTTGGACTGTTTGTACATAAAATTTGAGTTTGTGGGACATTTTACTGTATTTGTTAATGGATCTAAGTGTGCAGATTCTGCAAAGATTCATGCTTTGCCTTTCATACGAACAGGTTTATTGTTTTAACAAAATGTGACTGGAGAATCCATTTTCTGTGTCAGCTGCTAAGCCATGCTCTTGTCTATGTCCAGAATATATTTTCAGGGCTTTTTTACCATCTTGACCGATAATTGATTCATATTTTTCTACTGAAAAAATACAATCTGTGTCAATATGATAGAACACCAAACTAGAATTATGACTCTTGGGGTATTGTTTGGTCTGTTGCTTCTGTTTCATAAACACTAGGACTTCTTTTAATCTGAGCAGAGAGTAGTCAGTAGTAAGAGTACAAGTAAAAGGTAATTTAAAAATGGAAAAAAAAAAAGGTAGAAGTACTGAAAATTTCTGCCCTGATTGGTATTTATTTCTGGTTGGTATCTAAGTTTTAGCCCTGCATGCACAACAGGAGAGCTGTTACCTGACATGAATTCAGCCAATCATTGCCTGGGCAGTTCTGGAATTAACTCGGGCATAAGTGTAGGTTGGGTCAAGCTTTCATAATACAAGGTACATTGATGAATACTGATGAAGACATCAGCATTTTGGGGCAGCTGTTATATATGCTCTCAAGTATATTTCAGCATTCTGTGCCTTTGTTTGCATTATAACTTACCAAAATTTGAAATCTTTATTTTCAAAACAAAGACAGCATAGAAGCCAATGTGGAAAATGCAGATGTACATGTGCAGCAAGCAAACCAGCAGCTGTCAAGAGCAGCAAACTACCAGGTAATACCAGCTGTGTGAAACTGTCCTGCAGTAGTCTTGACTTAGGCTTTCTTATGTATCAGGATATTTATGAGAGACAGGACTACTGTGAGACACTGTAAAACATGGTTTATTGCTCTATTACCTTATAAATCTCATGGAAGGGTAAGACATTAAAGGTGTTAGATCTAACGCCACAACATCAGAAGCTGATCTAATTCTCAATTGCAATGCCTCATTAGTTTTTCAGCCAATCAGGTATTTCTACAAAGTTTGCTAACATCTTCTTACACCAATCATTAATTGCTTTGTCTTTCATGGCTTTGCTGCAATGTGTCATTTTTCAATCAATCATATAACACTTCATAAACTTACATTGATGCATCTTAAACTTCTAACTAACTTTATAACAGGTTCTATTGCTAAACTTTGAAATATTTTACTATCTCACTTAACATGCTGCTTTGCTTACATGATAAATATTTCTGTTTGCTTAAAACATATTTCTACTTAAACTGCAAACTTATTTTCTTGTTTCATGTCTGTTTCACTTCAATGCTCTAATTCTCCATGCCTTCTCCAAGGTCATAGGTCAAACACTATATCCATCTCTATCTCTGAGCCTGTATGCATAAGGCCTGGGGAGCTTTCTATGCCAGCATTTCTCACACTTATGAACTTCAGATTTTGCCTAGCAAGTTCCTCAAGGCTTGAAGACTTAAAGGTTTATGTTAGACTACAGTGGTATTTCTAGGTCCATATAAAATGAAAGTCAGTGACTTCAGAAAGCTTTGGGTTTCCTGTGATGCTGTTTCCAGTCAGACTGTTTAAGAACCTTCTGAGATTCTATGAGAGCATCTGGAGTTACACCTTTACTTAAAACAAACAATCAAAAATTCCAAAACCAACAGAAAAACCTTACACAGACTCCTACTTTTATAATTCAAGAAGGTAAAGTTCCTATATATGGGAGATCAAGCCTTTGGAAATCACTGGAGGAGTAGGGAAGATAGGCAGGAAAATCTTCTGAAGGTGTGGCCAGTTAGCACCAATTTTTGCTGTCTAAAATCTTCCTGAAGCTATATATATCCAGCTTTCATTACTTGCTACTCTGATGCTGAAAACATATTTCAAACTGTCAGACTTTTTTGAAAAAAAAATACCTTTATATGCCACTTCTTTATAACATTTTTGGCAATTACTAGAAATAATCTTCCCCTTTAAGTTAGAGTTAGTCCTTAGACTTTTTTTTTTAAATCCTCTTACGTGTATTAGTAGTCGCTAGGACAGTAAATGAGTGACAGAATGTCTGAAAGACTGCCTGTTGATTTCAGAAGTGGGAGAGGGCGCATCCTTGGACTGTATTCTCAGTGGGATTAATTGGCACACTAAGTACGTTTGAGGACTCTTATTTTGATACTTCAAAAATTCAGAGAAAAAAAATAATAGCGACCTAAAATTTTAGTGTAAGGTGTAAGTTTTCTGGTTGAAATTTAAAATGAAAAGCTTCATGATTTATTTTGAGGAGGAATCTTCCCATCTCAAAGGAAGGTTATCAAGACTTGACAAACTTCTGTTGAGTGAGTCTTGCAAGAGGCACCAAATACTGCAGAGTTGCTCTGTGTTTGGATAAAAGGACTATGTAGTTTGCTTTGGATTTGAACTTTCCTTTGCTTGAAAACTTATCCATGTTCCAAGGTGCTGAAAAATTTCAGCAACTATTATATCTGGCCTAACCCCCTCAAGGAAGTGTTAGAGGCCCAGGTGTGCTGGGAGACACAAGGCTGTTGATACCCATGCAGTTCCTGTTTGTGGTTGGATGAGCTCTGTGCCACTCATCTGTCCTGTGAAGTACATTCACAGCAGAGCAATATGGGCAAAGCCAGGCTGCTTCAGCACTTGTAGAAATTATGATCAATTACATGTTGAAATGAGTTTGCCATGCCTTGCTTAAGTAGTTTTACAGAGGAAATGTTTGACTTCAATGCATTTCTGGTAAGAGGTGGTCAACAGGATGCAGAAGGAAGAGATTGTGACTGTAAGGAGATAATGGACACAGGAGGAAGGTACTCCAGCAAACTGGTTAAGTTCTAGCAAGTAAAATAATGAAATGAAGAAATCTTAGCCTGATGGTGAGAGAAGTTGCAATGAGACAATAAAACTAGAAGAAGAGAATTGTTACGAAATTTGGTGGTCTGGGTAATACTGGGCAGAGAATTGACAGCTTCAATGAAGAACTGACACAGATGTTGTTCTTCAGAGAGGAAAATTTTAAAAACCCCAAAACATCAAAACCACCCAGGCAGAAGAACTTTTGCCAAGTACAGCACAGACTGGCTTTACTTCTGGGGCTATGGCCTAGAATCCCAAGATCTGAATGTTGTTATTCCTTGGCTATCGGCAACAGCCTGAGAAACTCATTGGTACTTTTCTTTTATCCTGTGAAGGAAACCTTCAGATTCCATACCCTTCAGGTAAAGAATGATAGACTGCTGCTGATCTTGAGTGGTTTGGTATCTCAAGTTACAGACCTGTATGGGAAATGCAGAAGTTCTCAACATGCTCGTAATTTAGACTTTATTGTAGTGACATCTATATAAGTGTGTCTCTAGTCATGTCTCTTTGTTTTTTGTCTTTTGCTTTTTGTTTTTATTGTTTGTTTTCTTTAAGAGCAAGTTCTACCTAAGAAAATTGGCAAAAACACCCTTAAAATAATTGTGAATGGATACACAGCAGTCTAAAATTGCAGTCCGTTGTTCCCTTCTGTATATACACTAATAGTATTTTTTTTTTTTCTAGGAGGCCATTTCTGCCTCCTCTGTTGTGCAACTGGTTATCCATTTTCCTCTCTATGCTGTCACCTCTGCTCATGTTACTTCCCCCAGAATTCTAATTACATCCATTCATTACATTACTGTGTTTTCTTTCATTAATTAATTATGTGTACCAGAAAATGCCACTGAAATAATTCTGTTGAATAATATAGCCATAAATAAGGTAGATAACTTTGCTTTTTGTTTTTTTAGATTACTCGACCATCTTTATATGTAAGGACAGAATTTAGTTAGGACCTTAAAAGCATCTGAATAGTTTTCTGATGTTCTGATGTGGTACAATTTTCAATCAACTTGGTTTTCTCTCTGTTGGCAGCAAAGATCCCGAAAGAAGATGTGCATAATCATTGTTATACTTGCTGTTGGAGCATTGCTTCTTGGACTCATCTTCTGGTTATTTTCAAGATAAGTCTCTGGAAAAAGCTTTGTTGATTGTATTTAAATTAGGAAAGGAAATTCATAGTCATGGTTTGCTCATTGTGAAGCTGAGTAAAATAGTTGTTCTGTACTTCATCACACTCTTTTTTATAAGACTGTTTTGTTTTAATCTGAGAAATAATGTTCTCAGTACTGCCATCAGTATAACTGCCTCTCCTCTCAGATTTGGGTGCTGTCTTACCAGAAAAAAAACAGTCAATATCATAAACTGTTCCATTAACTTGAACATAAAACATCTCAAGGTTTAGGGGCTAATCAAAGTAACGATAATTTGTGTTGACAGGGTGAGTAATTATCTTTTGGGATATTGCTAAATGTTGCTGCCAAAACAAACTCCTGGATTATTGCTTGAGGCAACAAATTCACATCTCAGAATTTGTTTTTAAGTTAGAAATATATTTCTTCTCTCTTTCCCTTCCATCACATTCACCTACCCATTTGATATGGGTGGCTCAAAAATAAAATGTAGGTTGCTGAAGTTGATGTGTTCTCTCTTTTATACCTGAAGCCTGTGAATTAAGCCTTCAGTTTGCTTGAAATCTTTTAAATGTTCCATTTATCTCTAAATCTGGTATCAAGTATGGTTATGTCTGGAAGCCTCCTGCAAAGGTAGGAAGGTTGAATGATGTAATTATGTGCGGTTTTTTGTTCCAGTCCTTGCATTAAGAAATACTGTGTTTTATTGCACACATCTGGTATCTTTGCATCCGAAATGTGCATGAGTTGGTTTGGTTAGATGAAAATGTGCTCTAGTCTGTGACTTCATAGACTTGCTGGGAAGAATAGAAATTCACAACTTCCTAGCTGCACATGAATGTCACTGTTCTTAAACTGCTGTAATTTAGTTTCCATGAACAGGTCTGAAGTTGTATGTGATGTCTTTCACACAGCTTAAATAAAGAAGATTACAAGTTCAATTCCAAGTTCATCACTGGTATTTGAAGTTAGGTTAAAATCAGTTGAACTGGCTGAAAGCATTAAAAAAGTTTGCTTATAGCCTTTAAAATGACCTTTTTTTTTTGTGCCATTTTGTACTAATATATTAAAAATGTAAAAACACTTTTTTGCCAATTAATCTATTTGCCTTTTTACTTATCTTGATGAATTAATCTGAAAAGTGTACAGATGAAAAAGTCTCTTAATCTGTATTTTATAAAATTCTTCCATACCAGACTGATAGAGAATGCACTGTGTACATGGTGAGCTACGAAATATTATTTGGGAGCAATCTAACTGTAAGCATAAAGTAATTGTAACCATACAACCAAAATAAAGGTCTTTTAAAGAGTACACTTTTCTAGTAGTTGCTTTTTTTTCAGAATCCATCTTTAGAAGCACAGCTGTCATCTAGACAACTCCAGAGAATTTTATCTCACCTGGTGAAGTGGTCCCAGGGAACCTCTCTTCCTATACTTCACAAAGTTAATGAAAATGCTCCTGCATCTTGCATTCTCAGCTAGTATTGCTAATGCCCTGGGATTTTTGTTTTCAGACTACACTAGCCTAAACTAGAACAGCAGTCAGCATTTTAGCCAGGTAGCTTTCTTACCAGTGAACTGTCTAAAACTGGCATTGGAGATTTCCTGGCTTTAATGTTTAACAAATTCTTTGCACTACTGCAAACAGGCAGAGAAGGATGACCTGATCCTTCTTGCCTGTTGCAGTACCTCATATCTTCCTCTGTCAGTGACTGATTCCACTGACATGCTGAGGAACGAAAAGAGCTCTTTGGCAGCAGAACTTCAGCTCTGACTCCTAACAGATTAGAAATTCTCTCTATGCTTGTTACTTTTTACATTGCATTTGTCTTCTTGTTTGGTTTTCTGCTAGGGGGATTCTCTACTAAAATGTGTACCACCTTGAAGGATATTGTTCCTGGGAAGAGATGGTATAGTTACTGATTGTTTACCTTATAAAGGGATGAATACCCTCTTTACTGAGTTTGTCCAGTAGTGACTGCAAGGTGGGATAGCCAGTACATAAAAGCTTCCACTATGAGGAGCTGGTGAGAGTCAGGCTGGGGCAATAGCACCAAATAACTTGGAAATTCTGCAGGTTGCACAGCATTGCATTTCCCAAACCCCTGCTGCAACCTGCGATCTCTGCTCTTCTGTGTCTGATTTGTGAAATAAAATGTCTTTATTTCCCACATGGAATTGTCTCTTTATTTTCAGAGTCATGTGCCTGTTCGGCTGCTTTCTGGTGTTAGTGGTTGGGGTACTCTGAGGGAGAAGAGTGCTCCTGAGAGTCCCTGTGGGTGCCTTGCCTGCTTTCATTGATGATTTATTGAAATAAAACCCTGCTTGTGGTGTGGGGGTGCCTCCCCCACATGCTCTCAGATGAAAGAATTCTTCCTTGACTCCCAGTGGAGGTGGGACACTGGAGCCCTTAACCACTGGGTGAGACAAAGGGCCAGCTCTCAGAAGTCACAGGATGGTTTTGGAAGGTGTGTTGGCTGCTGCTGTTCCTGCCACCTGGTCTGTGAGGCAGGGGCTGGTGGGGAGGTCAGTGCTGGAGTGTTTACACACAAGCTTCTGTACCTGTTGGAGAGACCAGCCTGCAAGGCCCTAATTGCACATTAAGCATCTTGGTGCTGTTAGTTTCCAAACTTGATTAGGCAGAAACAAAGTGCTGGGAGGGGTTGTATTTAGAGTGTCCATGTTGAGGGGCATAAATACTCCTTTCCAAGCTGCTCTTAAAGAACTTCTCTCTATCATTTCCCTCCCCTACATGAATACACTCTTAAATGTATGAAATGCAAATTCGAAGTGTTTAAAGGAAGCTTTGATATTTATTAAGAACCCAATAAAATGTCTGGCTGTAACATGTATGAGTCAATGTTTTTAGAACCAAGATTTTGGCTGTTCTGAATTAACCATCAATATCTGTCAGATTAGGAAAGCCAAAAAATGAAATCAAAGCACCCTTCATTTTACTGAAGGAATCTGCTAAGAATAGTTCCTTTGTAGTTATCTTAACCACACACCAGAGGTGCTTTTGTGTTCTTTCTTACTTTTTCAAAGAGTTGAAAATCACAGGGGCACACAGCTTTTTAAAGCTTTTTCTATTTTTTTCTCTGCACCTCCCCCCTTTTAAATTGTTCTGATATTCAGCAGGGTATGCAATACCCCCAAGCTAACTGTACCGAGGAGCCTTCTTAAGTCACCCACCCACACATTGTGTGTGTGTATTGTCAGCAAATATGTTTGGTGTCAGAGGTGTGGGCTAGATTTTGGATATCAATAGTTTGAAACCATGAAAAAAGATGGAGTAAGGAGTGGAGAGTAAAGTGGGGAGGTGGAGAGAATGACATAATCTGTTAGTGAAGTTGAGCCAATACTGTTGTAGTTGACCACTGGCTTGGGATGTTTCAAGCACAGTGTTGTTGGGTATCACATGTGAAAGAGATTAATTGCTTTGCTTTTGTTTAATTCTGATTGAATCTCGTTGATGATTTCAAGAGCACCAGTGAGAGGGGAGAGTGCAGAGATCTCCTTGCTGCTGGATATAAACAGTTGATGACTTTCTGTTTCTTACGGTACCTGTGGTGCAAAGTGGTGCTTCAGTGGGTACCACACAGCTTTCCCTTTCAGTTTGCAATTAAGTCCAGAGCTGTCACCCAAAGCTGTTGTGGAGTGAGGATTAATTATCCTCTGATGAGGTGCCCACCTGCAGAGCTATTCTAGGTGTTATTGCAGTATAAGGTTTGCAAGAATAAATATCTGAAAGCAATCAACTCCCAGGAATCTTTGTCCTTGTAAAGGTCTCTCTGACAGTGCCCCTGATGCTATAGAGGTTTCTGTAGCTTAAGAATGCAGATAACAAAGTATTTACTTAGCTTTGTATATCCTGATACATTATATCCTTCTGTGATAAGGGGAGTCATGTTTGCATGAACAAGAAACCCAGGAATAACCAGAAAAGGTAGCAAAATCTTCATTTTTTAGAGGCAGAAAGCAATAAATGATGCTGTAACTTGCTTTTTAATGCAACTCATTCTCAGCTTTTCCTGTTGGCTGTATTGAATGTCTAGTCTTGAACACAGCCGCAGTGGCTTGGTTTGCTCCTATCTCGAGTATCACTATCTCAAATATCAGAAAGGTACTCAGGGTAGGGAAATGCATCACACTTGTGGGTATGGTGCAGGTACAGACGAGGGCCACAAAATGGCTGGACAGCTCTTTTTTGAGGTCTGAGAGAGCTGAATTTGTTCAGCCTAGAGAAGAGAACATTCCAGGAAGACTTAATTGTGGCCCTTCTGTTCTTGAAGAAGTACTCCAAGAGAACTGGAGAGGGACTTTTTACAAGGATGTGTAAGGGGGAATGGTTTTAAACTGAAAGTGGATAGGTTTAGATTAGATATAAGGAAGATATTATTTACAATAAGGGTGGTAAAATGCTGGAATAGGTTGCCCAGAACAATGGTGGATGACCCAGCCCTGGAAACATTCAATACCAGGCTGAACTGGGCTCTGAGTAATCTGATTTAGTTGAAGATGTCACTGCACTTTTCAAGAGGGCTGGACTAGGTGACTTTTAAAGAGTCCTTCCAATCCAAACTATTCTATGATTTTGTATTTGCAAGAATATTCTAAGAAGAAATATTCGGTATAAGTATCTGCTCTTTAATAGTCATATCTCTGTATATGAACACAACATTTCTTTGCTACTGCTAATAAAATATATTTTTCTGATTTAAGACAAAAATAACCTAGATTAAAATGCTCAATATCACAAGAAAATTAATCATTTGAAGCTTTTTCTTTTTATTACTGTCACATTTTAAAATATGTCTTGTGTATTTTTTAAAAAGTGAAAGGTGAAAAGTAAAAATAAATACAAAGAAAATTGGAAATCACTGGCAGCACTGTCCACCCTTCCTTTCCCCTTCAAAATTCATTCTGGACTGAGTTGTAATTGGGTTTTTCCTTTATTTAATGTTTATGCAGAAAATGTTTGGTCTTTGGCACTACAGTTTGACGTCTGAAGAGGTAATAATGATGGGAAGGAGTAGGCACACTGCATAATCCAGGCAGTATAAAAGATAATCTGCCTTCCCACCTTTACTCATAAAAGCTGCTGGAGCTCACTGCAGTTGCCAAGTTTGCATTTTAGAAGGAAGGGCTCCAAGGGAATTTCTCAGCAACAGCTTCAACTGCTCCCAAGTCCTGCCGGCTGGATGGACCTTTATCTAAAAGAGGTAAGCAGGGACAAGGAGAGGAACTTTTCTCCTTTAAAGGAGAACATCAGCCAGCAACCTGGGGAGAGGGTAGATAAATATACTCCCTGCCATTTGCACTACTTTTGCTCCCTTCCCACCCACCCCCTCTCCTCTCTCCCCTCTCCCCTCTCCTCTCTCCCCTCTCGTAGACACAGATGTTCTCAATGCAGAGGAAACTGAAACCCCGCAATTGGGTCCTTCGTATCTTGTCTTCAAGAACTTTTCTGTTGTCTCATTGTCTAATATGCTGTTCTCCAACAGCTTTTCTTCAACTAGATAAAGAATAACTATTGTCTTGGGGATTAGCCATGGTATTGTCAAGGAGAGCTGGGCTGAAGAAGTTTGGGGGATCAGAAATGCTTGTTAAAAAGTAGATTTATACTGTCTTTGTAAGATGACAAAAACAAGTTGAGGCTTTCTTGTGTATCAGCCATAGTTTTGATGTCTTCAGCAAATCATTATTTAAAATAATCAGAGAACTGCTAATAGAGACGCAAAGTAGACCATTTGTCCCTGATTTGTATTGTGTCTGTTAGTTTACAAATTAGTCTGTAAATTCCCAAGCAGGGACTGCAAAGCTTGAAGCTCTAGGGGAGATGAGCCATGAGCCATTATCCTTCATCTACTGTAACCCCACAGGGCATCCCTGGAAAAGGGCAATCTGGCACCTGAGTGGCCACACTCTCCCCCCAGCTGAGGGGGAGGAGGAGAATTTTGGGATGTCTCGGGAGTTTTGGCTCAGTTGTAAAGGAGGCGGCTATCATGTCTTAGAAGGGGTCATAAACCATCAGACCCCCGTACTCATTCCTGAGGCCTTCCACCTGCTCTCTGCAGAGGAGGTGCTTGGGTATTCCTGAACATATAATATTTGAATTCCCTGTTTCCTGGGACTTCCACCACTGGGAGCAGGGTGAAGATGAGCAACAGGATGCCACTGGATCCATGGGGCTGGTGGCTATCTTCCTACTTAATCTATTTCTCACCCTCTCCTCTCTTCTATTTCTCTGTCTCTACCTGACATTTACTGTTAAATAAAATCTATACTATTGACTTTGGCACCTGCACTTTC